GTTTTGGCTTTCATTTCCTTAGAGCACTTAATCAATGACAGCTTTTTTATCCTAAGCGAGTGATTATATACCGAGTTCTATCCTGTAATTTCGAAATTAGATAGTGGTTTAATATTGATTTCGGATTTCAATCGCTCAACGAAATGTGGAACGTATTTGGCCAGAAAAAATTTAGTGATTGTGAAGGTTTGGAATTGAAAACGTGAGTGAGCATTTGCTGGTTCTTGTTATAGCCGTTGCCTTTTTCGCCAAATGATCCATCGAGTCGAAATGGATCTGACTCCAATCAGGACCCCAAGTCTGTGAGTCCGGTCGTGTTTGCACCACACGTAGAACTTGTTCTGGAGATCTCAGCTCAGGCATAGATGAGCCTGTCGTAGCTTATACGCTTTGGTCGATTTCATTTGTTATCTCTTGCCTTGAGAATATGGCACAAAGGTTTGACGTTTTAAGTCTTAGGTCATCTGTTTCTGGTTTGTGTCTGGCTCTGGTGTTAAGTGCTTTAATGTGACAAGTTACGCCCACCAGTTGTTTGATGAAATGCTTAAACCAATACTGCTCTTTGTGTATTACGAAATCATAAAATTCTCTACCTATTTCCTAAATAATATTCTTTTTTTATTGGGTTGCCTATTTGATTTCCTTAGTCACATTTTACTTAACAGATGAATCATTTCAATTTTGAAAAACTCTTAATACATTATCCGATGCTTTGCAGGGTTTCTATGGTGTTGAAGCAAGAGCAGATTGATCCATCTGAATTGCATAACATGACAAGTAAGTTGTCTTTAAATTTTTTAGAAGAACATATAATCCTCAAGTCCTGTGAAATGTTATATGAGTTTCCTAAATCCTAACACCAGAAAATGAAATTTGAAATTGAGATCACTTAGGAAAATATCTACCAAATAGATAATTAAGATATCTCTTTCTCGTTGGATGAGTAATTCTTTGTTTCTTTTTTTTTAATTTGCAATCTAAATCACGTGTATGAAACTGATCAAATGTTGGAGAGAAAGATCGTAAAGGCAATCTTTTGTTTCACTTAATTTTTTAAACATTTATTTTCCTATAAAACAGAGAAGTTTTTCATCATCTTTTGTCCTTAGAGCTAACCAATCTTTCATTCCTCATATAAAAACAAAACCCACTTACTTGTCCCTTAACGATAAAAATAAGAAAAGAAAGAAAACAAATCTGTCTTGGTTTACTTAATCTGTTTCTAATTAAGTATTTTCTTGTTGTTCATCACCAAAGGTATGCTTTCTAGGTTAAGTATATTACAAGTCCCCAGTTTCTTAACCAACAAGTTTCTGTTTTCTGAAAGAATACAATAATGAAAATTCAGTTTGTGTGTTTTAGATTTGTACAAGGTCAACAACAGATTAATTTCCTTTAGTCTTAATTCAGAAATGACCCTTTCTCCATTTCTTATTTCTTAGTTTCTGATGGAGGCTCTTTTCTTGAGTTCTTCTTCTTCCATTGCTACGCCAAACAAGTTTGCCAGATTACACAACCGTCGTGACTGGTCTACATTGGTTAGGGAGAACAAAAGGCATGGTCCCACCTGGTGCCGCGTA